AATAATTTTAAATGTTTAATCAGAATTTAAAAAAAAATAAGCATGAGACAGTACAATTGTTTATTCAAAATTCTTGTAAAGTTAAAAAGACAGTTGAATGCTTTAATTTTCGATTTACTAATAATAAACTTAATTGCAAATAACTTTAAACACTACTTAATTTCAGAAAAATAGGTGATAATTTTAAAAAATGGAAAGAGAATCGTATGGCTGAATACCAAAAAGAACTTGAAAAACAAGAACAAGAAATGCAACGTGTAAAAGTACCCAAAGTAGAAATGGCAAAAATTCCAACTAAGGTAAGTTAGTTCATTTAACCTGTAACTTTGTTTTTTTTCTTTACTTATAGAAATTATAGAAATTTTTTGCTAGATTATGCTATAAATTTCATAAATGTTAGAAGTTAAAAAAGTAGAAATTCCAGCTGTGACAAATCAATTCACTTAACCATTAGCCTTATAGCAATAAATTTATGGAGCTGTAAAAAAGGAATATTTTCTAGACGCAAATGTTAACTGAACCAAAAAAAACGGTACGACGATTAAAATCATCACAAGAAACGGAAGCAATAAATGCCATTCCAAGTTTTATTACTGAATGTCGAACGATAAGTTCAAGTTATTTTTTATTAAATTTTTTTTCTTAAAAAAAAATGAAAAAATAATCAACAGTATTACATTTGTTTAATTCTAGTTACTGGTTATTTAATTTAAAATATTAGCTAAATTTATCTCATTATGTTTTTTTTTAATATACACATATTGATCTTATTCTTGGTTGTTTAATTTAATATTTTAATTAAATCTTCTTCATTCTGTATTTGGGTTAAGGATAATTTAGAAGATGTAAATGATTTAAGATAATTTTGAAGATGTAAATTTTATCGATGATTCTTTTTTTTTGCATGAAAATGATTGAAAAAACGATCAATCAATTCGGTTTTGCTAAAATAATCCGAGAAATATGATGTAAATATGAATAAATAAAAATTAGGGAATAATATTAAAGAACAGTGAGGATTCCAAAATTTCCAGTAAACTTTTTTTAACTTTAATTTTACAACAATTTTAAAATTTCTTTTAATATGATGAAAAAACTTAATAACGCTATAATGACAGTAATCAAATCTAACAATGTTAACTTGATGAATGATATCAAATTTTTCAGAAAAAAATTCCTCATCGGGAACAAAAATGGAAGTGGAAGTAAAGAAAAATTTTGGAACTACAAAAGAAAATACTCCCAAAAATGGTAGTTTTTTAATCGTAATTTTAATTTTATTTAGGCTGAAAATTTTAATTTTCAAACATAAATCATATTATAGCTCCTAGTAATTGCACATCAAAATTTGCGGAAACAACTGCTACGGAAGTGTCAACGAAGTCGCAGTCATCAACAATGGATCATCATTTGATTGCATCATCAAATATTGAAAATAATTCGGCATCAAACGTTGAAATTTTCAAGAAACAAGGGATGAAATCGGATCCGGTTGTTGCAAAACCCCGGAAGGTTCATATACAATGAAAATTTGATGCTATTTGAATCTTTTATAAATATTGATTCTAACAGAAAAATTTAATAACTTTCTAAATTAATTGATATAAGATGAAAGATTCCATTATTATCAAATAATTTTTCTTCTAATATCCAAGAAATTGAAATTTTTAAAATTTAAAGGTATGAATAATTTCAGATATTAGGAAATACTGAAAATCGAGAAATGCGAAAGTATGGTACCAGAAATAAGACGCAAGAATTGATGAACTTTGTTAAAGAGAAAGAAACGAATGATGAAGAAGAGGTTTATTTAATTATAAATTTGAAGAGCATATTAATTAGTCAATAATTTAATTAATAAATTATTGACTAATTAATATTCTCAATCCTTATCACACATTTCTGAGAGTTAGTTGAAGTAATTAGAAATTTTATAGTCTAAAATATATCGGCAGAATTGCATCCATCGACGTAATCGTTACATTCGAAGACCATTCGATATTGATGTTTTGCTTGGTTATGATAAGGAAAATAGCTTTGAACAAGTAAGTACATTAATTGATTTTATAATTTGTCAAATATTTTATACCTTGGTTTCATGATTTAGTGGAATATAATTCTTTTCATAATTTATCAATCGCTTTAATTAGTTTCATAGTTTATTAAATATTATAATTCATAATTTACACTAATTTCCCCTTTTGTACTATTGGTTAGAAATTTTTTGGAAAATTATTAGTGATTCGACTATAATAACAAACTTTAATCTTTCAGATGATCAACACTTAATTATAATTTGATGACATCAGCTCTAATTTAAAACTAAAAAGAAATCTTATTGCATCAGACACAGAAATATTTTTTTTTCTAGAAATATTTCATTGCAGTTTGAAGCTCGTTTTGCTGCATCAGGACGTGATAAGAGACCAATGATTGATAAGAGTGATAAGAAAGCTAAGAAACGACGAAAAGAAAGCAAGAAAATATGGATCAGCGAATTACGAGTTTGTTTCACTTTCTATATCTTTTATTTCCGACTGTATTCATTTCACTTCCTTCTTTTCAAAAATTTTCTAAAACTTTTTTTTTTAATTAAAAACTTCAAGTTATTACATAATTGATAGAAACAAAAAAAAAAAATTATTCACAGGATTATAGATCATTTATTTCAAGATTAAATTTTAGTAATACTTTAGAACATGCGATTAATAATATGTCCACTTCTCAAAGTTGTAATTTTTATAGTAAAGTAGCTCTTATATTACTATATTATATTTACTTAACCCATCAATCAATAATTACGCTTTCAGTGTTATTTAATTTCATTTAATAATTACATTATTAGTAATTACATCATTTTTAAAAATTAGCCAGCACTTCAGAATGAAAAACAATTTCAGGATATTGACAAGATTTATAGGACATCCGAACTACGCGATATAATTAATTCAGTGCGAGTTTAAATTTGAGACAAAGCAAAATCGAACAATCTGAAAAACGATATTAAAATGAAGAAAGAAAGAAGACTGAATTTGATGATATTTGCTCAATTTCCGACGAACGCTTTTTTTTTT